ACCCCCGGGACCCCCCCAGAAGGATACTGGCGATCTCCTCCAGCAGGTACCCGGGGCAGGGGATGTCGTCGTCGGCCGTTGCCCTGAGCAGCACCGGGAGCTGGAGCGGGGCGAGGAGAAGGGAGAGGGGTGAGAGGCCGCGGGGCCCCGGGCTCTGACAGCACGGAACGGGGGGGAAGTACAGCGATGACATCACGGGTGGGGGAGTCACGTCACGCCCCCAGGCAGCCTCCCACCCCTCCCCGTATCTCCCCCGGCCCGTACCCGGCTCAGGAAACTCAACCGGTCTCGCAGCGGCGCCGCCATGACACCGCCAGCGCCGGCCCTGCCCGGCCCCGAAGCGGCTTCGCGGCTCCGCCCCCCCGGAAGACGGCACAAGCCAATGAGAGCGCGAGATGCTACCGCTCGGCCAGTCAGCGGCGAGGGAGAGCGGAGCTTCGGGCGGAAGCGGCTCTGGAGATTGACGCCGGCGGCAGAAGGGCGAGAGACGGGAAGTAAACAACCGGCGTCTCCGCCAATCGGAGCTGCCGGCGACGAGGGACCAATCAGAAATGGATCTGCGTGGGGATGACCAATCCTCGCTTTCGGCAGGCCGATTCGACTAACCCGAGAAGGCCAAGGGGGACGACCTTCCAAAATCACCCAATCAGAAGCCCAGCGCCCTATCGGCGCGCAGAAGGGGGCGGGGCGTCCGCCGACACCCAATGCGAGGGCGCGGCACTTTGATGAGCGGACTGGCCGACCAATCCCGGTTGATCAGCAATGGCGGCGCCCAGGCCGTGAGGAGGAAGCGGCGGGAGCGGCGGCGGAGATGTCGGGCCGGGGCGTCTGGCTGCGGGCTCGGGCGCGGCTGCGGCGCTTCCCCGCGCTGCTGGCGGGCTGCGGGGAGCAGGTGGGGCCGGGGAGGGGGTGATCGAGGCCGGGGAGAGGGGGGGGAAAGCTCCGGGGGTCCCCCCGGTGCGCCGCTCCGGTTCCCTGTGGTTTCCCCGCAGGCGACGGCCTACGGGCGGTGCGTGGCGGCGGCGGCGGGCGGGACGGCGGAGCTGCGGCGGGACGCCTGCCTGGAGGAATTCAGGGCGCTGCGGGACTGCTTCGCCCGGGCGGTGGGTCCCGGGGGAACCGGGGAGAAACGGGGGCGGCAGGGCCTCGGCCCGCTCTGACCCCCCCGCTCTTTACAGGCCACGGCGGC